ATTAAAGAGAGAGTTCTCAAATATTCTATCGCACAAGAAACAAACAGTTGTTTCAGTTATGCAACAGTATAATGGTCCATGAATAATTCAGGAAATGAATCCGGCCGGCACTAACACCTACAGACAGATTAAATGTTACAAATAGGCGGACTATCCAATTAAACAATGTTTTGTCTTGGTCTCCTGGATTGTTCCTTCGTCATTTAAAGCTAGATAGGTCTTCTCTTGAGACATGAGCGAACATTAATTAATCATGATCAGAACAATCAAAGTTAATATGAACAGTTGGTGAAATGAACAGAGACAATACACATTGGTTGCTGTGGCTATAAAGGAATTGTGTAAAGTTTGTTTTTTGCAGTTGCATTTCTAATCATGTAGAAGTGAAATAGGTTGAATTTCACTCTTAAAAAGCTGTGTGAGCCCTGTAAAGGCCGACCAACGCTGTGTTTCTTCTCAGTGCTCTTTCTCTGATATTAAGCTTGTTTTTCTGAGCTGCTGTGTTTTTCTTCAGTGTGAAAGTCATTCTCAAACTTGGCCCAGTTGAGAGTAAACATCTTGCAGTTTTTTGAACAGATTGTGCCACTTGTGTTACAGATGTGAAGCCTTCCATCATTGGAAAAAAGAAGCCCATGGCGGCCAAAAAAGGGGTGAGTCATATTTTCACTAAACCACAAACGCTGTGTTTCAGGAGCTGCCGTACTGGGTACAGCACTTACAGCAGAACCAGTTTTACACATCAAAGTGTGTTTATGGGTGTTGCTGCTTGTGTAAAAGAGCCTTTTGTGCCTCCAGAGGAAATTGCACAAAATCAGTCACTTGAATCAGCGTCAGACTGCAAGTTTGACATTTTTGTAAAGAATCTGGGGGTGTGAAGTTAAAAATAAATGAACTACCAGACCTCTGTACCTACGGCTCATCTCTGCTGCAGGCTAGAGACAGGCTGCCTTAGCTGCTAGTAGCATCACATGGTAACACAATCTCTGAATGAACTGTTAACAGGCGTGTTGCACGAGTCTCATAGTGTTATTAGGAGTGCAATGCTAAACCTAACTACTCTTTTAAAAAAACCTCCTTACACACAAAGGTAGATTACCTGCTTATACATTCTTACAATGATCTCTACTCTTTCTCCCTCATCCAAAAACCCACAATCTGTGAATCTGTACATTTTGAAGCTCTCTTTTGACTGGAGGGGACTTCAAATAGATTTATACTTCCTCCTACTCATTTTTAAACCTGTAAGATTGAATTTGTGTTTTTTTTTTTTATGAGGATTTATTCGACTTTGTGTAACAGATTAATTTTTTAGTTTTAGTTTCAATGTTATTTTATCTTTTTTCTTTAACATGTTCAAAATAAAATATATATTCATAAATAAAAATATAAAGACGTACCTCTCAGCCCAGTGGCGAGGGTGCGCTTCAACCTTTAATATCTAACCTGGAACTAATCTGTGTGCCACATTGATGCAGCTCGGTGCAAAGAAAGGTCTCGGTGCCCAGAAGGTGAGCAGCAAGAGTTTCTCGGAGGTGGAGAAGCAGGCGCAAGTGGCCGAGAAGCTGAGAGAGGAGCAGGCTGCTGAGGCGAAGAAACAAGCTGAGGAGTCCATGTAAGAAATATTCTCTTCCCTTTTCAGGTCTACGTTAACACTATTGTTTTATTAACTGAGATTATTATTAGAACTGTTGAATGGTTATATATTCAAAATTCACTTGCAGACCACACTGCATTCATTTATTCAGGATTAGTCTTTTTACCTGGCAGATGATCATAAAACACACTTTAAACCGTCTTTGTTAGTCTTTCCACTCTTCCAGCAATCACCAGCTCTCGTTTTGTCGAAATAAATCCACAACAACCCCACAGCAAATCTTTGTTTGCTGCTATACTCATGTTTTAAATCTCATGTTTATAACCTGATAAGTTTATTATTTAATGAGTGTTCCCCGTAAAGGGTCTGATTTTTGTTTGTTTTTGTAATTTCCATTCTTCGTTTTCCAGAATAACCGATTCTCTCTTGGTCTGAATCAAAGTGTCATTTTTAAACATCTCTGAACTTCCTGACGTTGCAGTGTGGCCTCGATGCGTTTGGCTTACAAAGAGCTGGAGATTGACAGGAAGGTGGAGGAGAAGAAGCTTCAGAACATGGAAGGCAAGAAGAGAGAGCAGGCCGAGAGACTGGGCATGGGCTTCGGCACCAGGAGGTACCAACACAACACCTTGTTCTGTTGTTATCCTCAGAGCACAGCTGTCTGCCTGAGGTTTCTCTCATCCTAACAGAGGATACCTTCCATTTGGCTCTTACGGTTCAGGTTTGAGAAACTGCACATGTATGATCTCTTAATGTGTGTTTCCTGTTTCAGCACTGTGTCTCACTCAGTGATGTCAGAGATGCAGGTGATTGAGCAGGAGACTCCTGTCGGAGCCAAGTCCTCCTCTCGCTCCAAACTGGACATGTTTGATGAGCCTGGTTTCACCTCCGGACCCCCAAAGTACGTATGACACCTACTTATTGATCTACTTGAGATTTTGTAC